TGATGTTCTCACTAGTTTTACAGTCATGATCCTTAAAACGACGCAGGCGTGTGACACGGCGCGTATTCGAGCGCACCCAGGGCGTTCTCATCCCAATAAGATGCCGAGCTCCTTATAATGGGTGGGAAATTCTACACTGGCTGCGCAGCCGTGCTCCTCCTACGCTTTATCACAGGGATTATGAGTGGAGGTAGGCAGGTCTGCACCACTTCTGCCTGGGCCACCCAAGCGATCACTCTGAAATACAGCGGTATTTTGAATCATCTCTGAATAGCTTCCACCAACTTATCAAACCAGCCAAACACTACCTCAGTGAAAGGGGGCATGCCCTGCGTATAGCATGGCTGTGTGGCGTATCGATGGAGGGCGGATACATCAGCGAAATCCGATAACGAACCTCGGCATAGTTCGGCTTGGTGGACTCGTTGCCGACTCCCATTATTCACTACCGATGCCTCCTGTAGGGTGGATCCCTGCAAAACTATGGACAGCAGGAGCTTCGTTAGACAAGAGTCTGGATGCGTGACAACTAGAACTCTTGATGGTGCTCCTGGCGCGAAAGGCCAGAGCGCGGATAAAAAGTACACTGCTGCTGACAAGGTATCGGAATGTGCAAAAGCATATCGCGAACCAGGGATGAGCTTTTCCAGGGAGGGAGGTGAAGACTCCGGAATGGATGAGCCGCACATCATGCGTGAAAAATCGGAATTGGTGAGGTCAAAGAGGTCATAGAATATTTGCGGACGTGAGAGCGTAGAGGAAAATAGATGTTGCTGCGATTGAAGGAATTGAGTTGTCCCTAGACCACAAGAGTCTCCGGGTCTCGCCAAGTGGAAGATGAGGTGGTGTGACGTGCAGGAACTAGCAAGAGGATGTAACAAAAGTGCAAAGTGTCCTCCTGAGCCGAACAACACGCGAACATTTAGCCTCCTCGCTTTGTGCTCTCGAGTGGCGGTACTAGTGCGCTGGCTGGAACTTGCCCACTTTGCACAAGGTCACCGTACCATTTGTCAGGGAATCGTACAGTATGCCTTGAAGCATGTATATAATGTTATTTTCTAGCATATTTTTATTTATGCTCACGTGGTTTATAGGTTTCGTCTTCTTTTGGGGCTGGGTGTTCATCATTTCGACGACGTTGGTCCTTATTTTCAAAAAGAAGTGGACAATTCTGTTGTGAATTCTTCGTGAGTTTTTATTCACAAGTCAAGACTTCAGGCGGGGCCCAAACCCGGCACCAACGCTCTCCGGGTGAGTGCGCTATCGTTTATGCTGAACGGATAGCGCATCCGCTTGGAAAGCGTAAGTGTGG